TTCCTGCTGTTCCTTTTCATGGAGTGTCTCCTCCTCCTCCTCCTACTCTTCCTCCTCCTCCTCCTCTCCTGGGAGGTGCTGGGTTTCTTTCCTCTGGTGTCTCTACTTTGCATTTTCAAAATGCAACTGATGTCTCAAGCACTGGTTTCACGCTGTCGGGAGATGCACTTGGGCTCTCTCACAGTGAATCTCGGGCTTTTCCATTAAACTATTGTGACGTGTCTTCACCAGAATGTCTTTTCCAGTCAGATTTTAAGTTTGGCTCAAGTCATGAAAGTTCTCCTGAAACAGAAAGTGATGAAACATGTTCAGCACTACCTCTAGGAAGTGCGGTTTTAAAAAGGAAATTGAAATTTGGCATAACAGAAGGTGACTCGACAGCCAGCTTTCAGGCACAGGAAAACAAGGACAAAGGTGAGGATGACACAGTCTGCAAACAAAGCTGGAGGAATTCTGTGCCTCGAACTGAACTCTTCAGTCTACAAACCGAGGTATTTGTCTTCTCTGTCCTTAAATCTGAGGTTAATTAGCTTCACAAATGAGAACAGTGCTACTCAACATAGTCGATCTAGACTGTTTGTCACCAGGCTGTGAAGAGGTGAGACAGTTGTGTCAGCATGCTGACCATATTGCTTGCTTCATGGAGAAGCTCTCGCTGCCGAAACAACAAAAAGCAGCTAAACAGTCTCAGCCCAGTAGCCTAGTAGTTAAGGAAACCGGATCCCACATGGTTGACGGTGGTTTGCACCTGACCTGGTGACTTGAAAAACCAGATGCATGTGCGTGCCCCAAATCCTAACAGGATGGAGAAATGGAAGAGAAAGGATTGTGGCAAGGCCACGCCCACTGGGGAGTTTTCTCTCTCTCTCTTTGGCACACACATGCCCTTTTGGCAATTTAAAACAAGACAGTGTGCTCAACAAGACTGGGATTTGTCTCTCTATTAAACATTAGGCCAGAAACTCGTGCTAGTGAATATCATTATTTCTCAGTTGAAAATGAACTTCCCAGGGGCCAGCAGGTGGCATGGTGGTTAAGGCACTGGATACTCCCACATGGACGACCACTGTTTGAGTCCCGGACCTAGTAGCTTGCTTTCTTACTTACTCTCTCTCTCTAGTCAAATTAAAATAAGTAAATAAATAAATAAATAATTCTTTAAGGAAAAAAAAAAAAAAAAGGAAAGAAAGAGAATGAATGCTCCCAAGCAGACCATGGAGTAAGAAATTAATTTCCTGGGACCAGCAGTTGGCGTAATGGCTATGCCGCTAGACTCCCACGTAGTTGAACACGGTTCAGTCCCCGTGGCTTAAACTCACGCCAGGTGCATGTGTGTGTGTGCCCAAGATCCCGAGAGGAGAATGGAAGAGAAGGGATTGCGGTGGACTTTTGTAGTGCTGACACCTCCCTTGAGCTGGACTCTCCACTTCAGCAGATTCCTCTTGTTGGTTTTTGTGGAGCGCTTCCCCCTCCTCCTCCTCCTCCTCTCCCAGGAGGTGTTATGTTTCCTTCCAGTTTTCCTCCTCTGGACTCTCCACTCCAGCAGGGTCCTGCTGTTCCTTTTCATGGAGCGCCTCCTCCCCCTCCTCCTCTCCCCAAAGGCCCTGCGTTTCCTCCCAGTTTTCCTAGAGCTCCTCGCCCTCCTCTGGGCTCTCCACTCCAGCAGATTCCTGCCGTTCCTTT